TCTAGAGGAGTCTAAAGAGACATGACTAAATGTAACTGCTCAGCAGGAAGCCTGTTTCTCCCCCTCCCACTCCCCCTGCTTGTGTTCCTGCTCTCGCTGTCTCTCTCTCTGTCAAATAAATAAATAAAATCTTTAAAAAAAAAAAAAAACAACCCAGCTTAGACACAGAAACAAGCAATTCAAAGTCTCTACCAGGAACTGTCTTCCATTCACTACCTCTACCATATCCCTCGCTCTTGTTGATCACCTATAAATAACTCAGTCTGATGTTATTCTATTGGATATCTGAACTAAGAAACAGAGGAAAGACTTAAAGAGCTGCAATTGTTGTACGACTACTTCCTGTTGCAGAATTAGCCGGTCACTTCCAATCTTCTTCCATTTTAGGACATTTCCTTCCCAGGTCCTGACCAAAGATGGAGCAACTTTCTATGGGTCCATCAGTCCTAGAAAATTCTCTTAAATCACTTAAATCAACTTTCCTTTATTTTGTTTACATTTTTTTTTTTATGTTTTATTTATTCATGAGAGTCAGAGAGAGAGCGAGAGAGGCAGAGGCAGAGGGAGAAGCAGGCTCCCCGCCTAGCAGGGAGCCCGATGCGGGACTCGATCCCAGGACCCTAGGATCATGACCTGAGCCGAAGGCAGACGCTTAACCATCTGAGCCACCCAGGAGCCCTTTTTTTTTTTTTTTAAAGATTTTATTTATTTGACAGAGACACAGTGAGAGAGGGAACACAAGCAGGGGGAGTGGGAGAGGGAGAAACAGGCTTCCTGCCGGGCAGGCAGCCTGATGTGGGACTCGATCCCAGGACCCTGGGGATCATGACCTGAGCCGAAGGCAGACATTTAAGGACTGAGCCACCCAGGTGCCCTTGTTTACATTCTTTAAAAACCATTTACATTTCCTGTCCCCCACCTCTTCTTCATACCTTCAGGTACTGTTGTAAGAAGACTCTGATCTGGGTAAAAATACTCTTACCTTTCTGTAAAGATCAATCCTCCAGTCTTGAATAGTTCTTGTGGTTTTGGGTTTTTTTGTTTTTGTTTTTGCTTTTGTAAGATTTTATTTATTTGAAAGAGAGAAAGAGAGAGAAAGTGCACATACAAGCAGGGGGGAGGAGGAGGAAGAGAGGGAGAAGCAGACTCCCCACTGAGCTTAGGAAGCCCAACATGGGGCTCGATCCCAGGACCCTGAGATCATGACCTGAGTCGAAGGCAGACGCTTAACCAACTGAGCCACCCAGGTGCCCCTACACACTAACATGTCTGTGGGATAGCTGGTTCGGTCATTTGGCCGAAGGCACAGTCAGAATTATCGTTCAAGACTGTTAACACAACTTTTTGTATCAGTAAGATTGTAGCTGGTTGTCACATGACTGCTGAGAAAACAAAAGCCTTCTGGACAAAGCACAGCCAGATGGCCTGCCTAGGTCACAGAAACCTCCTAGCACAGCACACTACCGGCTGTTACAGCAGGACATACCTCTTCGTAATTTTTCGCCTCCACTCCGTGCTTCATGTCTAGAATCACGAGTTGATCAGGTATCCGCCCTGTTCCTGAGAAAGAAATCAAATGATTCATTGTGTAGAATATTTAAAATTCTGGGAAATCACCCACCCACCCTCCCTCTCTCTAACCCCTACCCTCTCAATAGAGGGAAACAGCCACAACTCCTCCCCCTACTCAGCTGCAGAGAATTCCTGGCTCTGGCTAAAATCACAAGCATTCCAGACAAAGCCTCTATCTGTGTGGGGTGCCGGAAAGCAACGAGAACATGCTGCTGGCAAACATCTCTGAGCAGGCAGGACACAAGACACTGCAGCTTGGTACTACAGAGGGACAGAACAGCAGAAGAGACAACATACAGGCTTACGGGATTAGGAAATAACACTCAAGTCAACACAGTATAAAACTGAGTGGCATATAGACCAATAGGTAGTGGGCACCAACTAAGATCGAAAAGGTACATTTCCACATCTGAAAAGGGTGCCCTGTCAAATTTTGGAAAAAAAAAAAAAAGGATTATTGGGTATATGCTAAGCTTGGATTTACTTAATATAAACATGAGTACTGAAAACAACACAGGATTTAGCTAATATTCCACTTTAATTCAAACATTTTGGTCAATGTAAGGCCATTTCAGTAGGTTAATACAATGTTATAGGACCACAAAACACTTAAAAGAAAAGAAAGAAAAACACTTGTAAAGAAGAGTACAGTTTTCAGGGATGCTACTTAGAAAGAGAAATGCCTATTTGGGATAGTAGGGCCAACAGAGCTAGGCTTATATCAGAAAAGGTAAACTGGGGGCGCCTGGGTGGCTCAGTCGTTAAGCGTCTGCCTTCGGCTCAGGTCATGATCCCAGGGTCCTGGGATGGAGCCCCGCATCGGGCTCC